GAGATGCGGGAAGAGACTGGACAAAAATCGTGCACCTATGGATGAGGACAGTGGGTGGGGAGTGAGGGTGGAGGGTGGGGCGGGAACTGGGGGGAAGGGAGTTATGGGGGGGAAAAAAAGAGGAACAAATGTAATAATCTGAACAATAAAGATTTAATAAAAAAATTAGGCTTTTATTTTTTGCTGTTGTTAATGCTCACGCAAAATTCAAATCTTGCGTGAATTTTGGGACACCCTATATTTTGTAATCATTTTTTAAAATATGTTTTTATTGATTTTAGAGAGGGGAAAGGAGAGGAAGATAGAAACATCAATGATAAGAGAGAATCATTATTGGCTGCCTCCTGCGCACACCCCACCCCCACTGGGGACTGAGCCGAAACCTGAGCATGTGCCCTAACTGGGAATCGAACCGTGATCTCTTGGTTCATGGGTCAATCCTCAACCACTGAGCCACACTTGCTGGGCTATTTTGTAATCATTTTAATGAAATGCTATCATGCTGGATAGAAATTCATAGTGCCTTTCTTTGATATTCCATAATCAAAGTGCATCACTAAGACTACGCCTCTATTGAATGTTCCTCAGAAACAAGGGTGGGTGGCTATAAGCACTTCAACAAGCCCAGAGCAGCATTTGTAGGAGGGAATACTCACAAGACCAGGAATGATCCAGGGAGGGAAAATACCTGAAGATACAAAGTTATCCCACCAACGTTCAATTCACAGGGAGGAAAAGGCAAGTTATTATCAAAAACTGTGAAAGGTCTAAGACTTCATTCCTTGCAAGCTACAAGACTAGCCTGTTACAGTTCCTTGGATGCTGGTAGAAGTCATAAAACCCCTGAATCAGAGATGAAAGAAAGCGTATTACTCACAGCAATAGCAGTAGCCAGAGTATCAGCATTTTTTGTGTCAGTTCTCGGAGCCCCAACACAGTAGCAGTAGCTGTGTTATAGAAGAGGAACCATGAGCTTAGGGAATGTGAACTTTTTATGAGTGTAAGTATGCTGTGCTTTGTCATGGAGAGAAACATTATTATACTGGACAGCAAATATGCTTGCCCTTTGTTCACAAGACCTGCAGTGCCTTGCTCACTGTGTGAGAAATAAGATGTTAAGAAATACTAGACCTGTGGAGCAGTGTCTCCCGACAGTCACTAATAAATAAACTATGCTATGCTAGTCCTTTGAGTGCTAAGGTATGTTTGTCTTACATTAGTTTTAACTATTTCTAAAAGGATGACAAAGAACCTAGAGGCTAATAAGAATATGTAAATGCAGTGGAATATTCTTTAGTGTAAAAAAAAAATAGTGCCACACTAATACAGTAAGAATGGATGCTACTGTCCTATTAAAAATGACAGGCACTTTTGATTACATGTAGATGATTATATCCATTACTGATTGGAATCTAGGAAACATCAATATGGATCATTTTCAGTTTGATGTGGAAAGTCTTAGCACTGAATGAGTCCTAAGAAATTGCCCATTTAAACCCCTTCATTTCAGATAAGGAGACTGAGGATCCAAAGATCTTAAGAGACTTGTCCTCTCCATTATGGCCAATGTGTGTAAGGAAAATAGCTGCAGAAAACATCTTCCAAGAGGGCTTATCTTGGGAGGCATTCATTAAATGAGTTAATAGGGCATATCATTTCCTTCTCTTTACAAAAAATGTCTTATGAAGGTTTTGTGGTTTTTAACTCTAGAATAACAATTCAGGCATTCTATTCTGAGTTCTATCACCAAATGAAGTTAGGAAAATGCTACGTTCAGCAAAGTGAACAAGTATTTTTTTAAAAAATATATATTTCTTTATTGATTTCAGAGAGGAAGGGGGAGAGATAGAACCATCAATGATGAGAGAGAATCATTGATCAGCTGCCTCCTGCACGCCCCCTACTGGGGATCGAGCCCGCAACTCAGGCATGTGCCGTTGGCCAGAATCAAACCTGGGACCCTTCAGTCCGCAGGCTGACTCTCTATTCCAGTGATGGCGAACCTTTTGAGCTCAGCGTGTCAGCATTTTGAAAAACCCTAACTTAACTCTGGTGCCGTGTCACACATAGAAATTTTTTGATATTTGCAACCATAGTAAAAC